GGAACCCCTGAATACACAGTCATGGGAGAGAAGTTAGAGGCACTTTGTCAACAAAGAACACAGGCCCAAACAGAACACGTTAAGCATCATTATGATTTAAAGAAAGAACCTATAGCGTTATAACAACAAGCCTGCATTCCTAGTTTTTTCCTCTGCATTTCTGGATCTCTGTTTAGTCAGCCTTTGTTGCCGGAATTCTTATTTGGTTAAGCGAGAGAGGAACATACAGCCATGTTGTCAGAGAGATATAATAAAATGTATTTTATTTGTTTCTATACTTTTCAAACTTCTCATGTTATCATGGTCATGTACGGGCCGGGCCACCTGCGAACCTTCAGGCTTCTAAGAAGAGTATCTCAGTGCGAAGCATAGTGGAGAACTGTAAGTGACGACCCATGGTAGTACTTGATACAAATAGGATCACCTAATCCAAGTTTCACCTTTTTAGTTGTAGTTGATCTGCTTCACATTTCCAGTGTATTTTTGCAGGGAAACAACAAAATTTGATTTGAGCAACATGGTTTCTGGGAAAGCAGCCAAAGGATGCTAATTAAAGCAGAATCATTCCTGAGGGAACAAAAACCAGATTTCAAGAACAAGACTTGGCATCGTCGTCCAGTAACAGATTTAAAGGTACAGTGACCCATCAACATTTCTTTTAATGAGAAGGTTGGATCTTAGAGGGACACTATAGTCACCAGAACAACTACAGCTTATTGCATTTGTTCTGGTGAGTAGAATCATTACCTTCAGGCTTTTTGCTGTAAACACTGTCTTTTCAGAGAAAATGCAGTGTTTACATTACAGTCTAGTGATAACCCCACTGGCCACTCCTCAGATGGCTACTAGAGGTGCTTCCTGAGGCATTGCTGCACACTGTGCAGCATGGATATTCATTGTCTCCACCCTTTGCATGGAGACACTGAACTTTCCTCATAGAGGTGCATTGAATCAATATATCGCTATGAGGAAATGCTGATTGGCTAGGGTGTGTTTGACTTGTGCTGGCTCTGCCCCGATCTGCCTCCTTGACAAACTCAGCCAATCAAATTATTTTCTATGGGAAAGATATGTGATAGGCTGAGATCACCACTGTTGATGATGTCAGCCATGCAGGCAGATCAGGGGCAGAGTGAGCACAAGTAAAAAAGGTTAGATTTATTTATAGAGTAAGGAGTAAATGTTTGAGTTCCTGACCCTCTAGTGTCGCTTTAAAAAATATTCTGAAGTGTCAAACTAAACCAAATGCCATTGTTCCGAATTGCCAAAGCAGACACTTTTTTTTTTTCTTTTTTTTTTTTTACTTACCCGAATTACCAAAACAAATTTTTTGTCCATGCACATCCCTTCCTGGGTGAATCAGAATATTAAAATGAGTACCCAACTGGGAACTGGCAGTTCATATTCATCCAGGCCATTTAAAAATTGAAGAATCAGTCTCATGGAAAATGCTATTTACATAATTTGGGTTCCAGTTTTTAAAAAAAAAATAACAAAAGTAAGGTTTGCAAGGCGACTGCTAGCCACCCATTTAGAGATCTAGTTTGTACCATTTAACCCCTGAAAGTAGGACAGCGCCTTGACACTTCCTTCCCCTGTAAGTAGTTATGAAGGTGGGAGTGTTCCTTCAAACCCAAATCTAGCGCATAGATCTGCCTTTGAAGAACTAAACCAAGAATGATTTACTTAAGTGTGAATATTTTGTACCTCGAAATTTGAATTCAGAAAGAATTTAAAATTTTTTTTTGCAAAGTAATCAAATTGAAAACATTCGCTGACTTAAATTTTATCCATTTCTAATTAACTTTTTACTCCTACCTCCTTACCAGTTAAATTAATTAGCCTACTTTTTAAGATTTATTGTTATATGCTGGAAGTAACAGTTTCCTGATTCCTTATCTCGAGGGAGAACTCACACTTATTCTGCGTCGTTCTCCTAGAATGATGGTGACGGTGTCTCTAACCTTGCTCATTCCCATGATGCCTCTGTAAATAATAGTGTTTGATTGTGTCAATTGCACATGAATGTTCACACCTGGACCTTCCGAATGGCTCCTTTGTGGTTTTTGTAGCACATTGTTTAGGTGATTTAAGCAGAGTGAAAGCCTAATATAAAGATAAAGTATAACGGTAGTGAAGGGGTTAACCCTAAATGCAAGTATAATTGAGAAAAAGGAGAGAAAGCACTACCTAAGAACATATATAGTTTAAAATTTTGACTTTTAATAGTGAACAAAATATAGAGTGATCATTTCACATATTAAATCTTGGTAGGTCTGCATATATATATATATATACATCCAGACACAAAAAAATAATATGAAAAAATGTAAGATTTAAAACCCCCAAAAAACCAATGTCTAAATATGAAAGGGGTAGTCACCAGTATTAACTGGACTAGAGTATCCAAATTTGAATAGAAACTGTCTACTATTGTGATACTGTTGTAATTTGTCAAAGTTGTTCCGTTCTAATTAATCAAACTTTGCAAATAAAAGCATCTGCTGCTATTGTTCGTGCAGAATACTTTGTTATAAATTGATCGTAGACGAAAAATGACCAGTTTGAAATAAAGGCTGTCTACTGTTGTGATACTGTTACAATTTATCAAGATAATATTGTTATGGTTAATCAAGTATTTGCAACTAAGAGAGCATCTGTGGCCGTAGTTTATAAGGAATACTTAGTTGCAATCTAACCATAAACAGAAGTTAAAAGCTCTAATGGTATGACAGTACAGAAGCTCTGTCTGGTTTAACTGTTAGGCTTGTAGTTGAGACGTGCAAATATATGATGTAAAAAAATGTGATTAATTAGAACGGAACAACTTTGACAAATTACAACAGTATCACAATAGTAGACAGTTTCTATTCAAATTTGGATACTCTAGTCCAGTTAATACTGGTGACTACCCCTTTGATATTTAGACATTGTTTTTTGGGTTTTTAAATCTTAAATTTTTTCATATTATTTTTTTGTGTCTGGATGTATATATATATATGCAGACCTACCAAGATTTAATATGTGAAATGATCACTCTACACATTGTTTAGGTGATTTTGGTTGGACTTTGCTCTGTTCGCGTTTGATCTGGACAGCGTATGTTAGGGTGATTCATAGTTTACAGGTCCATGGATCCTGTATACTTCACACAGCTGAACTACTTATACATAACACTAGGGGGCATTTAATCACTAGCAGGATTTGTGTTCATTTGCCATCTGATTTTATGTGTTTTACACACAAAGGAAAAAAAAACAATCTGTTCAAAACAATGGATATAGAAAACGACTGGATGTGTTCACAGGACATGTTAAAGAGCAATATCTTGCAATAAAAAAAGATTACATTAGATCTTGCAAATAATGCTTATATTTTTGCTAAACCTGAGCTGGTTCTAATAGTGCAGCCTTTTAAATTGTGTGTTTATGTACACAATACAGTTAGTGACTTTCATGTTCCGAACCACATGCTCATCAAACCATTCCTGAACAATTTTTGCAGTGTGCATTATCGTGTTGAAAGAGGCCTCTGTGATCAGGGAACACCATTGCCATGAAGGGGTGTATGTGGTCTGCAACAATCTCTAGCTAGGTGGTACGTGTCAAAGTAACATCCACATGAATGCCAGGACCCAAGGTTTCCCGGCAGAACATTGCCCAAAGCCTAACACTGTCTCCAGCGGACAGCCTTCTTTCCATAGTGCATCCTGCTGCAAGATCTTCCACAGGTAAATTATATATATATATATATATATATATATATATATATATATATATACACACACATACATATATACACCCACACCACGTTCATCAGACCAGGTAACCTTCTTCCATTGCTCCATGGTCCAGTTCTGACACTCCCGTCCCCACTGAAAGTGCTTACGGTGGTGGACAGCAGTCATCATGGGCACTTGGATTCGTCTGTGGCTACGCAGTGCCATACGCAGCAAACTGTGATGCGCTGTGTGTTTTTACACCTTTGTGTCATGGCCAGCAATTTGAGCTACTGTAGCACTGTTTAATCGGACCAGACGGGCTAGCCTTTGCTCCCCACATACATCAGTGAGCCTTGGGCACCCATGACTTTGATGCTAGTTCACTGGCTGTCCTTCCTTGCATCACTTTTGGTAGGTGCAAACCACTGCATACCCGGAACATCCCACAAACGTGCTTAGATCCTTTCACTTGCCCAATTTTCCTGCTTCCAACACATGAAATTCAAGAACAGACTATTCACTTGCTGCCTAATATATTCCACCCCTGACAGGTGCCATTTTAACTATATAATCAATGTTTTTCACTTCACCGATCAGTGGTTTTAAAGTGACTGATCAGTGTATGTTGAACATTCCAAGTACCATATACAATATGACAAACTGTAGTTGTTATGGTGTCAGGATTGCCCTGGCTTTCAGCACTTTGCACTGTTGGCTTAGGGAAAGAGTTCCAGTTCTCCAATGGAATTAATACAGGCAGAGGTGCCTGTAGACCTAAGGTAATAAGTCAAACCGTTCTAAACAGTTTGACTTTTAAGAAATGAAAGAGGGGGGATGCAAGGGAAGTCCTTCACCATAACCACTACAGCGCACTGTAGTGGTTATGGTGCTTTGATTGTTCCTTTAAATAAGTGTAGTGGCTATTTTAAAGTGGGCTGCTGTTTAAAATACACAGGCCTATGTTGTTTTGTTCTTTTAATTATCTAATTTGTATCTTGAGATACTCTGTACCTTAAAATAACTTTCTGTGTCTTTTACTACTTACATAGGAACCAGGACAGAGTGGTGTATAAGTCAAGGGGTGTTTGACCAAAAAGTCGGTGTTTTGATCTTATTGACAAGAGCAGTTGCTGGTCCCACTCAGAGCAGCCCATGCGCAGAGTATTTTTTAAGCAATCTGATCGTGAGTTTAATTAAGAGTTTATTCATCCCATCATGATTTCATCTAATGATGAGCTGATTAGGGACAAAAAGCAAAATAATGAGAATAAAAACCAAATGTAGAGATTGAGAACATTATCCAGTTTATTACAGGCATTCCTATACAAATTTGGAAACAACGTCCAACAAATACACCAGTACTGAAGCACCAGAATAACTTTCAAGGGAAATATGTTTTCCTTCCATCATTATGTTTGAATTCAACACTTCCAAACAATATATCTCCAGAGAGCGGCCATTTTGTTTTTCTAGGTTACTGATGGTAACCTTTTGAGATGCCTGTAAGGTAACTGAAATGATCTAAAACACTGTTTATACATTGGGGGTTATGTATAAAAAGTGTCCGGTTTGTTTTCACATTTGTGCAAAGTTTGTGCACACTCGCCATATTCTATATAGAATGTTAAGGTAGTGCCGTGTTTTTAGTTTTCATGGCTGTAGCATGCCAAAATAAGCCATCTTTACTATTAATTACATTCACAAAATCAGTCAAATGAGCAATATTACTAGCACCGTTTGAATGATTTTTTAAATTTTTTTTTTACACAAATATGAAAACAGAAAATTAAAATGATGAAAACGAGCACTAAGGAATATTTTTGTCATATATATATATATACGGGAATTAATTTGCACAATTGGGAAAAGTGTCATCAGAACTGCATGAAAAGTGAACACCTCACAATATAACATAAAACACACATAAACCCCAATGTAAAGGTATCACAAACAATAAGGATGTTTAATTTGAGATGACAGAACTAAAAGGTTCCTCTGCTGTACAGCTTTAGAATATAAAAATGGCCGCTCCCTAATAATTTTTTTCCCTGAGTTGACTTGCAAGAATAACAATTGAAACTGCTGGTGACATAACATATTGGCAATTATTTCAGAAAAATGAATTAAAAATTATTGCAATATACCCTATCCAATAAAAATATATATTTATAATCTTAAAAATACCCACCACTGATTCATCATATTTATAGTGTAGAATCCTTAATTAAAACAAAAACCTCTTGTCCCGGGCTGGTTAATGACACCCACATGACTCAGCCGGAGATGGAGTTACACCTTCAGCAGCAGAGGGGATAAACTCTGTATGTGCAGCATTTCATAGTGACATACTGCACATATAGACTCCAGGCACCATGACCACTTCAAATCACTGAAGGAATCATGGTGTGTGGAGTAGCCCTTTAAGTACTTTGCTGCGTACATAGGGCTATTTTGTGACTTCATGAAACTTGTTGCTGAAAAGTAATATTTACTGACAGGGTTATTTACGAATGTGAGTGTTGCCGTGAATTTGGAATTCAAAGTGTTTCAAAATTAAAGGACCACTCTAGGCACCCAGACCACTTCAGCTTAATGAAGTGGTCTGGGTGCCAGGTCCTTCTAGGGTTAACCCATTTTTTTTATAAACATAGCAGTTTCAGAGAAACTGCTATGTTTATAAATGGGTTAATCCAGCCCTCAAATCCTCTAGTGGCTGTCTCATTGACAGCCACTAGAGGCGCTTGCGTGTTTCTCACTGTGATTTTCACAGTGAGAGCACGCCAGCGTCCATAGGAAAGCATTGTAAATGCTTTCCTATGCGAACGGCTGAATGCGTGCGCAGCTCTTGCCGCGCGTGCGCATTCAGCCGACGGGGCGGAACGGAGGAGGATCGGAAGAGGAGAGCTCTCCGCCCAGCGCTAGAAAAAGGTAAGTTTAAACCCCTTTCCCCCTTCCAGAGCCGGGCGGGAGGGGGACCCTGAGGGTGGGGGCACCCTCAGGGCACTATAGTGCCAGGAAAACGAGTATGTTTTCCTGGCACTACAGTGGTCCTTTAAGGACGCAATACATATCCCTAAATACCTATATTGGCTTGGAATTGTTGGGAATTCAAAGTGAGTTTCACATTTGTAAATAACGCTGTACATGTCACTCCATGTTGAGTAAATATTTAGCTATACGTTGATGTAATGTAGAATATAACATGCAACAGTAATGGGGTTTATTAACTAAGATGAGAATGGTGAAATGGCATGAAATAGATAAATTTTAAGGCAAAAAAAAAAAAAAATCACCAAATTGGTCTTCCCCACATTTTGGCACAAAATCTGAAAGTTTTCAGTTTTTCACAATTATTGGATACAGCTATGGAATAAGTTATTCCTTAAAGGGCTACTATAGTCACCAAAACAACTTTAGCTTAATGAAGCAGTTTTGGTGTACAGAACATGCACCTAAATGGCAGTGAATTGAGCAGTAAAACATGAGAAGCATGATCTATACACTAAAACTGTTTCATTAAGCTAAAGTTGTTTAGGTGACTATAGTGACCCTTTAATATATAACCAGTATTTGGCTGATACAGAAACTGTAAATTGATAGGTCTTTACCTGTTATCAATTGTGATCTTTAACCAGAAACACCGGAATGAGCATTCTATATGCAAAACCAATAGCTGGTCTGATATGGGAGACATTTTGGGTAAAATCTAGAAATGTGGAGAATTATCACTTTGGAAGGATTATTCCCTAAACTGTGGATTCCTGGGAATCCAAAAGGAATTAGAAAAATTCTCCAAGTCTGTTTTGTTTAAAAGTTAGCTTTTTTTTTGCTCTACAATTTGAAATTTACTTTGAATTCCTAACGATTCACATTGTGTAGAAGAGGTCAAATGTATTGATTGGTCGCCCAAGTAGCTGAATGCACGGAAGCCTTGGATCAAAAAACCTCGATTAAGTTGAGCTAAAAGTAATGTTGCAAAATATAGTTAAAAGGATAGTTGGAGGTCCTGTGCTTTGTGGAGTTGGAACTCCCCCCCCCCCCCCCCCAATCTTTGATCTGAAGTCATTCACTTACCACAGTGCACTATTTAGTGAGAAAAGGCATTTCTAAATTGAATTCCTGAATTTGTCCTCCTTTTACATTGAGTAGTAGTAGCTGGTACTCGAATAGCATCTTACTCCAAAAAAATCTTATGCAAATAAACCCCTAAATTGGACAATTCCAATAATAAAGCTATAATACAATAACCTTCATATACAAAAACTCCATCTACATACTCATTTAAAAAAAAAAAAAAAAAAAATATTTGGTAAAAGCTCTCTTCACCGTCACCTATTAAAACAAATGCATTTTTTTTTTTGTAGTAAAGTTTATATTTGCGTTGATCAAAAGAGCAGTAAATTTTGTATAAATACCCTACAGCACTGTGTTAGTATAGAAGTGTGAAATTAGCAGGATAAAGATACCTAATATCACATGCTTACTAAGCTTTCAACCAAGTGCCCATTGCTGTATAGTAAATATTGTGGCACAGAAATTTAGATAATCTAAAACTGTGAACTTTTGTATGATTTACATGTTCCCGAAACTATTCAGAGACATTGAGGGTTCTTTTATCCTCCCGAAGATTTAATAAACCAGCATATTTTAAAACCGTTAATAGATTTTTACCTCCAAATAGACCAGGTTAGTGCATTTTATTACAAATCCTACTTTGCTATACATCTGATCAAAGGGTGGAATAAATGAAGGTGTTGAATTAATTATACAGTCATGTTAACAGAGATGTCCCACTTGGGTGCGTTTTGGGTGAACATACTCATTTTAGGAATTGATCAATCATAGAGGGGATCTCATACAAGTCATTCTGATTATTAATCCCAGATATTCTGTCCACTACCCATGCTTAAATAAGAGATGGAAAAAAATTTAATCTCACTGAAATTTTCAAAAAGTAAAAAAAAAAAAAAGAGAATTTTTCATGGTGGTGAATACAATGTTCTACGCTTCATCAATCTCATTCACTAAACCTTTCTACTATTCTAGTGGATTGGCCTTGAGCATAAAATAAATTAGAATTTACCCTGATTACCATTTTAGTGAATTAGCCCAAATAGGAATTTCTACTGCAGACAAGTATCTCCGTAAATATACATCCACGTGTATGATATAGGGACGTCACTAGTTTTCTCTTGGGATATGCAAGCTCTGGAACTCTACGTGAGACATCATAGCAGTTGAAGTCCACGAATAAAAATAAGTGATAGAGATCACAGAAGTGTAATTACATATAAAGAACATTTTACCACAACTGAAATTTAACATAATTCTAAATCAGAAGTACTCTATATTAAAGAATGACATTCCTGTAGGTCCCATCGGTGAAGACATTCAATGTCCAGTCTGTGGATGCACCAAGGCAAGTCTCAAAGTTCTGGCTTTGAACATTTAATGTTTATTTTTTGATCTTGCCATGCTCTGTGCCAGTGTTGTCAAACCAATTCCTGGAGAGGGATGTGTGCTTGAGAGGGGCACACAAGTGACCCTTTTAATTAAAACGTAGAAATCTACAGCTTTTTATAGGCAACATGGATTCCGTGCAAAATATTATGGAGAACACTGACAAACCTCCAATACATTAGTCCTTTACTTCAGTCCATTCTGCTTCTCGGTTAACAGGGCCTCCACTATATTATTCAATTCATTTTCCACTAGTGCCTCAACTAGTCTTTTTAATGTGGCTTTCTTCCCTTCGCCCATCATAAATCGGTTGAGTAACTGGTATGCCTGTTCATACAGACCCTCTGAGTTATAATCGAATGCCAGGTTCTCTATAGCAGGATCACGCAAAGCCCGGCAGGTTAAACTCAAGGATCGTCCCACCTTCTTCCAGTTCTTCCCCACTAATGTGGCAAACTTCTGCCGATGTTCTGATGTCAGAGGAATATCAACTGAAAGAGTCAAATATATTAGTAAATATGTTAGTCATATGATGGTATGACCATAGTAACATTCTGATTGCCAATATACTAACATGTATTTTATTTTTGGATGCATCCTTACTGTGTTTTATCTCTTACAGAAATATGGGGTTATACCTTCGTTTGTTTTCTGGTTTTTTTTAAATTCTTTTATGTATAATTTTATGGTTAAATGATATACATATGTGCATAAGGGCATGTTGCCCTCACCTAAGATGGCGACCGATTCTTATGAACTATAGATACCCAAGATTAGAGGAAATTACGTCATCTTTTCCGGACCGGATATGACGCATGGACTTTGCGCACCGGAAGGTACATCACCCGCCACACCGGACCGCACAGATGAAGATTTTTGTGGCAATTTTAAACGATATTTAAACAGCAGCATACAGGATACATATAGAGACATTGATAAAGACAAGTCGAAACGCGTCTGTTCTCTGCTTTTTTTGTAAGCCTATTTTATACTTTGCTTTTTTACTGAATAAAGTTATTTGATCCACTCATTTGCTGATGTGGCTCCTCCTATCTCCGTGATCCATCTGATTCCAGTGGTCCAATGTCAATCGTTTTAGCCTGTTTAGGCACCCTTGGGCTTTCTATACAGAGCCTGGCACGGCTCTGGAATCTATGAGTTGAACCAATTATTCATCTACACTCACTTGTATATTGGCAGTACACACTATGTTTTGTGTTATTGTTTTTTAGGTATTGTTTATGACCATCCTGCCATTGATGTATATGCATAAGTATTTACTTATTTTATATTTATATCTTGCTTGAAGGGTGCACTCTCACTCTGTGTTTTTTACACTTTGTTGTTGGTGCTATTTTTCTATTTGTATGAAGATGTGGGGGCAACACCTTTTTTCACCCATCTCTGCATAGATTTATTATTACGTATTGAAGCGCCCGACTTGTATCTGTATTTGTTTAAGGTGGAAACCAACGTCCACAAGATATTTGCTAATAGGGTTTTTTTTTTGCTCACTAGAGACTCCAAAGGTTCGAATCCCAGATTCCATGTGGTAAGTTCTCTAACCTCTGCTTTTATCCCTAAAGGAGTGGGTGGCAGACTGTATTTTTCCCAACTGTGGCCTATTGTAACATCAGATGTGGCAAACTATCAACTGAAAGAGTCAAATATGTTAGTACTATCATGCAGAAGAATGCACATATAACACGCAAGAGACACCTGTTACCATGTAGACAAAATGTACTTTGAATATTAAAGGGACACTATAGCAGATGCTGTGTATAGATCATTCCCCCACAGTCTCACTGCTCAATTATCTGTCATTAAAGACCTACATCACTATTGTTACTGTTTCTGTTTACACAGTCCTAGCCACATAACCTACATGAAAAAAAGGATGCATTTTCAATTAGATGTTAGTGCTTTAAACAATTGTATCTGCCTCTCTGTAAATTGAGCTTTAGTCAAACATAGGAGGCTCCTGTAGGCTTTAGAAGACTATTAACAGAGCAGGAGATAAGAATTTCTAGATTAGACTGTACAATACAGGAACCTAAAATATATAGGCTCCTTTTCAGGAAGTGTTCAGGGAGGCTGTGCAAGTCACATGCAGGGAGGTGTGACTAAGCTGTATAATCAAAGTGATTTAAAGCCTTAATGGCACAGAATATATTCTTAATACTGCAGGAGCTTGATCCATACATATACACCAAAACGGTTTCATTAAAGGGATCCTATAGTGGCAGGAAAACAAACACGATTTCCTGGCACTATAGGCTCCTGGAGTTTTTACCATGGCGCCGAAGGGCTAAAAACTCCTTCAGTCACTTACCTGAATCCAGCACCAATGTCCCTCGGCTTGTTGGCATTAAATTTCAAATTCCACTTGAAATCACTTTGAATTCTCAATTTGTATCGTTTAGTTTTTTTTTTCCTCAATAAAAATATTATAAATATATTTAGATCAAGCTCCTGCAGTATTACTAATATATTCTGTGCTATTAAGGGGTTAAATCACTTTGATTATGCAGCCTTAGTCACGCCTCCCAGCATGTGACTTGCACAGCCTTGCTCCAGCAGAGAACTGGGTGATAAACATATGACAGGGAAGCAGTGTCTATACTACAAATAGAATTTTGCCTAATGCTCTGGCCCCTCAGCCTTCACAACCTGAATACTTGTTCATGGGGGTCCAGTAGTTTTACAAACATATGTTGTATTTCTGTTCATCCATATAACTCACCATACTCTTGGTCTTGAAATTGAAACGTGCTTGTTTCAGTTGGAACGTTCATGTTAGAATGTAAGGAGTTCGGAGTAGAGTTGGTACTGGAGCTCTCAGAGGAAGCCGCATTGTTTATCTCAGCATTCAGATCCAACGTCATATTTGTAAACATGCTGTCCAGCTCGACTAGCTCGTCATCCTTCTGGTAGGTGGGCTGGAAATTTCAGAAAATCTTGGATTAATGATGTAAAAAAATCAATAAAGTCGATCACAGCAGTTATTCACTAAAGTGAGAATTAAAATTAAGGCCAAAATAAGTAAGCTGAAAATAGATGTTCTAATTTTGCTATTTTGGCCTAACATTTGAAATTCACTCTGAATTCCTGGCAATTGTCACTTTATGTTCTGATCTTGAGTAATGTAACCACTAAACCGTGAGAATATCATAAAGGGCTATTCACATGAGGGAAGTGGCAAAACTATTATGAATTTAAAAAAAAAAAAAAAAAATTTTTTAATTTACTAATGTGATATGGATTTTTTTAGACATGGAGGTGAGCTTTAATTCCCTCAGCAGCAAAGAAAACATTGTTGGAAAAAAGACAAACAAAATATTGAACAAAATGGGTAAAACATTATGTGACCTAGCGACAGGGGCCACACCCAAGGACATAAAAAGCTATTACATCACTCCCCCTTTATTTCCTGATCCCTCAGTGAAGCATATTGGTTACCTGGGCTTTTTTTTCATAGTAGCTAGTACCCAAAGACACAAATTGTAGTGTTAATCAATTATTGTCTATCTGTGTTTATCATCTTTTACTTGCTGTTTAGTGCCCTGGTGTTTTCTCGTCTTCACCGTTTTTTAGGCTCTGGTGTGATGCGATGTCTAGTTGGTAGCTGCATGGTGGCCATTTTGGTGGTGTTGGCCATGCAGGCGCTCTCTTTTCATGCGCAGTGGCCAATTCGCAGGGGACGTGCTCATTCGTGTATGCATGTGTATGGTGGCCATCTTGCCTCACAAGCCTGCTAAAACATTGACTGACAGGCCTGCTAAAACATTGGAATTGTCTCCTCCATCTGTTGGTGACTGATGTTTGACTGCTCCTGCTCTGTTCTGCCTAACTACTCATTTGCACTCCGCTTCAGGGGAACCCCCCCTCTCTCATTTAGCTAATTTTGATACAGATTGTGGGTTACTCAACCCTGTTTTGGTGGATAGTGTTGCTTAGTAGGGCATCTATTCTCTCACTAATAGGGACTGTGCAAGGCTTGCATTGTCCCTGTTGGTTGCTTATCAGCCCCCACATCTGTGTACCACTGCTTTTGTGCTGTGGCTTTATGTGCCACTGCTTTTGACCTGTGGTTTTGACCATCTGGTCAATCCAGTGTCTAGAGCATCCTCTACTGTCTGCCAATATTGCTTTGATCAGTTTTATTCATAGCTCTTGTTCCACTGTGATTACTGCAATGCAGTCACCTAATGATAATATCCCCCAGTCACCTCTGCCAGGCATGTCTGACAGATTCTCTCTCATTAACTCAGGGGATGAAGTGGGTATTTCCGCTTCAGAGGAATTCCAGGCTCTATTGGATTCCACTATGATGAGATTGGTGATGCAGGGCTTGACTTACACTATGAGGATGATGTCTTCCTCTATCTTCCATATTATTACCCAGGCTCTACTGCAGGCCCCTCTAGCCAAGGACCAAAAGCATAAGCCTTCTGGCTGTAAAGCACTGGAAAAACACAAGCATACCTCCACGATTCCTTTAAAAAACAGTACACCACTAGTTGATGGCGTCCTAGCACCATGCCGGATAACCTGGAGCCAGGCAAAAAATGTCTCTTAAATAGGAGGCTTCATATGACTCTTACTCAGAATACCTAAGTGACCTGCCTTCGGAAGAACCTGAGCAGACAGATCAGGTTTTCCTGGACAAGCCAGCTGGAGATCAATACACCAAAGCCAAGATTCCAGAAGTGGGGGAGGTCATAAATCCCCTGTGGGAACCACTCTTTGACACGAACGACATATGTCATCCACGTTCAATGGAGTGGGCTCCCTCTGACCATACAGCCCAATACTTGGCATTACGATCCGTAAGCCTTTGGAAAAGGCTAGTCGGGATAAGATGAGAGAAGAATGCCCTAATCCACTCATACGTGATAAAGTGTCTCATCCCAGAGGTGGATCCACAAATTGTTCAATTGTTAGATAAAGTTTGCTGGAAACCTAAAAAAGGTGGAATATTCCCTGCGTAATTGCCCGGACAAATTGTTGGACACTTGGGGCCCTCTAGCTAAAATGTTTCAAATGGTGGAGGAGGTGAATGCCTCTAAACAGATGCTGTACCAGGTCATGGTTGCACAGTGGATCCATGGCACTAGCTACAGAGCACCGTAAGGCAATTCTGTTCAAGACTGAGCCTAAGACCGTGAGTCTGCTATTCAAGGAGCCCAGGGCTTTTTCCAAGGGATTATTATTTGGGGAGTCTTTCATGAATGAACTAAACCCACATGCATACTTTCACGTCTATAGACAAGGTGCAAACCAACGTGCACAAGATATTTGCTAAAAGGTTTTTTTCTGCTCAATAGAGACTCCAAAGGTGCGAATTACAGACGTCCACCATGTGGTAAGTTCTCTAACCTGTGCTTTTATCCCTAAAGGAGTGGGTGGCAGACTGTATTTTTCTGAACCTTGGCCCATTGTAACATCAGATGTGTGGGTACTTCAAACAGTACTGAGACTTCGTATAGAATTTGTGGCGTTACCTGTACAATATCTTGCCTAAGATCCTTTTGTCTTCTCTAGACAGGGCCCTGGTATCCAAAGAGATTGCGGAGCTCGAAGCAAAGGATGTTCTCGAGAGGATTCTGGACAACTCCACAGGATTTGTCAGCAATATATTCCTGGTTCCCAAGAAAGGAGGCAGAGTTTGTCCAGTCATCAATATCAAACCTCTGAATGCTTCTGTCACATACCATCACTACAAGATGGCATTTACTGTCTCAAGACCTACTCCAGCCAGTGGACTTGATGGTCAAATAAGATCTAAAAGATGTTTACTGGACAGTGCCGAAGATCATCATGACTAGCTTCAATTCATGTGGCAGAGTCAGTAGTGGCCTTCCTTTTGGTCTGTCATCTGCCTGTGGTGCTTCACGAAGTTCACCCTGACCTACCATCTTCAAGGAACCAAGCTGAGCAACATATCCACAGGCAAGGATCATACTGCCCAGGCACACATATCGGGAGCTGTACATAAGCTCCAGAAAATTTTAAGTGGCATTTCTCTTATTTTACCTCACCAAGTCTAGAATATACTACACTATATTCGGTTTTCTGTTTTCCACATTGACTCACCACCATACAAATTTGAGGACACCTAGAAAGCTCTGTTTTCCTGTACCATTTCCGGGCTTTGCTCATATGTTTGATCTCCTGTAAGAGAGTTTCGGACATCTGTGATTTGGAAGTACATTCCTTTTCTCCAGATGGGTTATCATTTGATATTTGTTGTTGAACTAAGGCATTATTTAAATCTGTCTTCTATTGTTAATTTCCAGACCAACCTAGGCTTTGCACAATATGTTGACCGAAGGAATATGAGTCTTGTACGGCTCCACTTCAACCACTGACTGGCCTACAGGCCAGGAAAGAATGACTTTAAAAAAAAAAAATTAATCTCTCTTTAAAAAAAAAAAATTTTTTTAAAAAAAAGCACTTTTAGGAGATGGTTTTTTAAAAACTTTTTGCTATTTTTCTTCTAATGCTACAAGACTGTCTAAAGACTATTTTAGGTTTGTCAGGTATAAAATATCTTTGTGTTCTTTCTTTAAATATACCTTGGTGTTTGTTAATAACTTTAATGCTGATGTTTTCTTTGTTGCAGGGGAGTTGGGCAGGAAATCTGGGTATCTGTTTGACAGCCACGAAGTATTAATAAGGGGATTTATGAAAATGTTAACTTCTCTTGAAATTGGTACTTTTATAAAATTAAGCCATGTTAAAGGAACCTGGTCTGATAATTGTAATGCGCAAAAAAAAAAAAGTGTGCGTTTTCCAACTACCACGCTAATGGTAGGATGATCATCTGTAATGGAAGAAATTACCTTTAATGAAGCAATGTGTTTCAGGCACTGATCTTCTTTGTCCAGTAGGTCATCGAGGGTCGCAGTGTCAACCTTGAGCTCTAGAGTCACCTGCACTGTTCCTTGCGAGAAGTCAGACTCCAGATTATTCTGTATGCGCTCGTGCACCCTGTGTTCTTTGTAATCCTGGAGAAATCTCTGGCATAGCCGCTGGCTGCAGAATTTTAGATACAGGATCAGGTTCACGTCACTCGTGTGAATCTTTAATATCTCTATGGAGCCTTCACAGTTTTCACTGGACTCTAACCAAAAGTAAAGGAAAAGATTGTAAACTTCTGGAAAAGGAAGAGAGTCCAAGCTCCCAATAGGTAAAACAATACGAGCGATACAAACTATATATTTATTTTACAACTGCAGAGAAAGAGTCAGGAGTCAGAGAAAGGTTCAGGGACCACCTGGGTGAACAAAGTACACAAAATGCATTTAGGACTTATTGGCATGAGAATGTATCCGCAAAATTAAACCAGCAAACTTTGTATGACAGTTTATAGGAACGGGTGAGAGGGATCAGTGGTCTCTTATGCTATCAAAATCTATATTTAAATGATTTTTTTTCAGATTATATTTACTTATCCCATATGCTGAACAAATATGTATCTGTGAGTTCTAATAAAAATATTAAATGTAGAAATCTACACGGCTGTATTTATTGATTTCATAGGACTGAACACCTCCATCCTGGCTCCGTGTCAGTCATTGTTTGATTTGTCAGGCAGAAATAATCAATGACCAGGAGGGGAATATAATACATCCCAAGTGTCCCTATTTAGGAGGCACAGTCCCTATTTTGGGCCCAAATCCCTCAAATATAATATTGGTGTGTATGAGTGTATAACCAGTTTAACAGCAATATTACTCCCAGTAATGTGACTTTAAACTACAATTAATGTGTTAAGAAATCAGTCTGTGTAAATAAGATACATTGTTCTTGTTCTAAACTACATTTTAGTTACATATTATTAGTAAGTTGCAATTGTTATTAGTAAGTCACCTAACATTTCTCAGAACATCCCGCCCCTGGCTGCACGACCAATCAGACCCCTAATATCAAAGGGTCTGCAACAGAGCAGTATCAGCTGCAAGCATGTATAGGGGAGAAAAACAGCCAGAATTATTTATTGCAGCGGTTTTGGACAGACAATCGGAGAATGGAAAGAGAGAACAGATGAGGTTTATTAACACAAAGCCAACATAAAGGGATGGAGACTTTTAACATATAATGGGAAGCAAGTCTGTGCTTCCCAAATGGTAAGAAGGAGACGTGTGTCTTACAGCAAGTGTAACACCCACTGTAAATATGATTGATTGGTCTCAGCAGGAGACAGGTAATGGAAATAAATTAAAATATGAGCTTTTAACATTATTTAGGGAAGAAACACCTAACTGCACGATAGGGGTCAAGCCAGATGGTTTGAAAACGGTCTTGACAGGTTCACTTTGGCTATGCATTAACAGAACTATAGTGTGATGTCAATTTCTACATCTTTAATATAGATTTAAAACAGAACACTACATGATAAAAAGGTTAACATGAGGAGTTATAGGTGATTTTTAAAGTTTTACTCAATGGTATATTTTTTAGAGATGTGACAGTTTCCCTTGGATTATTTGTGCATCAGTACAAAGAATGTTAGTCTTAAAGATAAACTCCAAGCACCATAACCACTAAAACATGCTGTTGTGGTTATGGTTCCAGTAGTGCCCGATTGTAAGCAGTCAAACCGTTTTAGAATGGTTTGATTTCTTACCTCGAGTCCATTCTCTAACTCCACTACTGCCAGTGGAGAGGTCAGCTAACTTATCTCCACCAATGAGCTAAGCTTTACACTGCCAGGCTTAGCTCAGACAGACTGCCTCTGATTCTCTGTCTACAGTAGTTGAGGCAGGAACAGTGCACAGTGGGCACCGGGTACATTGTTAAATCGCTTGACTTCTTACAATGGGCGAGCACTCCTGTCACCATAACCACTACAGGACACCTGTAGTGTTTGAGTGGGCAGCCAGTGTTGTGACATAATCTTCTCATTATGACATCTTAAAAGGGATCTTTAACTGCCCAAATTAAAATTAAAGACTGTTTAGTAGGTATTCCGCCCAATGAAAACATGCATGCATTTAATTATGCAATTTTCATTGGGGATATATCTAAAAAACACTTTCAAAAGCTGCAGATCTCTTGTCTGCAGCCTTTGCAAGACCCTCCCCTTCTAACCCCACTCAGACTTTCTGTGACTGTTCAATCACTGACTTCCCAATGCAATTCTTTGCCCTGAACAAATGCTCCTTCTTTAGCGTCACTGAGTTTAGTGCCATCCCCTAAACCCCACCATCCGAGCCATGCTCTTATTTCCACTGGATCTGATTGTCTGAATTTTTATTTAATTTTCCAATGAACAGTATAAACAGTATTTTGGCCAAGCTAACAGCTCAGTCCTTAGGGAGAATCAAAGTTACCTGATAGGGCACTATTGAGCGCTCTGTACAGACGCAGCTTTTGGTCTTTATACAGATTCGAAAGTTGGATCTGGTTTGACTGGATGAAGAAATAAAGACTCCCAACCCACTCAAGGGGCATGGCCGCCATCTTAAGTGCCTGGAAAAAAACAGAAAAAAAAGGTTATATATTATATTATCCCTTGCAAATTTTCACCAGCCTAAATCCCAATTAGATTTACACATTTGGTGCGATGTCCCTGTCCTTATGAATCTACACTTACAACTTCAGCTAGTTATTAAACCAATGCAAAAAAGTTGATGGGTCCAAAAGGACACTTCTCAGCTAACAATAGAATTGGGAGTACCTTTTGAAAAAAAATTCTGCCCATTTCCGTTTTACATTTTGTACCGAAGGAACACTCCTAAAGCTCTTCAGCTTGTTATATGGGTGGAGATAAAGGGGAGTCTTCGGGTTCAGAGGTACTTCTACTTGGGAGGCTATCTGTCTTAAATCTGCTGTCGATTTGAAGGTCCCATGATTCTCAGCCAGATGGGAACTCTAATTACCCTCACTAAAACTCTCCTGACCCTAACCCATAGTCTCTTTCTCAAATGATGAAGCTTGGAAGTGGGTTGTTGCATAGCATTATATACTTTCAAGCTGTGTATCGGGATTTAGGACTACGAAGAGAAGACTTTAGCAGCCCTTTCTGTGTTGTCTTGTATGTTGGGGCAGGCCATGAACCTGTCTGTCTGCTTGGCGTGCTTGATTTAAAGTCCCAATGTTATGGAACGTTAGAGTCTAATGAAAGTACTTAGAAAATCGGGCAGACTAGATAGGCTCAAATGGTGATCTGCCGTCACATTCTATATATCTATGCTATGCTGCTGTGCTTTAAAATGCCTGGGACTTTTTCCCAGTCCAACCATTAAAATGTTACTAACATAGTAGCTGCAATGATGTGTGTTTGTGTATATATACATATGTATAGATTTGCTATATTCCTTAATAGAATTACTTTAAGAGCGCTGCGTAATCAGGGCCGTCTTTAACGCGGGGCAAACGGGGCAGCTGCCCCGGGCCCAGTTACTCCTGGGGGGCCCAAAGCAGCTGCCCCGTGGCCCCACCGCCCATCAGGTGCTTGTATTGCGGCTGCCCATACTCTAAGGAGGCTCACCGGGTGGCCAATACATTTAGGGCCACCCGGTGAGCACGTTACAGCAGGGGCCCGGTCGGGTGCTGTGGCCCTTTAACAGCACGACCGGGCCCTCTGATTTACGGCAGCATGGGAGGAAGTGACGTCGGTGAGTCACTTCCTCCCTCTGAGATCATGAGCCGCGCAGGAGGAAGACTGAGCCAGGAGGCAACTCCCAACCACCCCAACCAGCACACTGGACCCCAGGGAAGGTAGGAAACTAGAGGGGGCTTTACAGTTTGCATATTATGTCAGTATGTGTGTGTTTATGTCTGTCAGTAGGTCTGTGTGTGTGAGTATGACTGTGTGTGTGTCTGTCAGTAGGTCTGTGTGTGTGAGTATGACTGTGTGTGTGTCTGTCAGTAGGTCTGTGTCTGTGTGTGTGAGTATGACTGTGTGTGTGTCTGTCAGTAGGTCTGTGTCTGTGTGTGTGAGTATGACTGTGTGTGTGTCTGTCAGTAGGTCTGTGTGTGTGAGTATGACTGTGTGTGTGTGTGTGAGTATGACTGTGTGTGTGTCTGTCAGTATGTCTGTGTGTGTGAGTATGACTGTGTGTGTGTCTGTCAGTAGGTCTGTGTCTGTGTGTGTGAGTATGACTGTGTGTGTGTCTGTCAGTAGGTCTGTGTCTGTGTGTGTGAGTATGACTGTGTGTGTGTCTGTCAGTAGGTCTGTGTCTGTGTGTGTGAGTATGACTGTGTGTGTGTCTGTCAGTAGGTCTGTGTCTGTGTGTGTGAGTATGACTGTGTGTGTGTCTGTCAGTAGGTCTGTAGTGAGCACCAGTCATTCATTGAATGTAGTGTTGGTGTTTGCGTTACCATTTTTTTTTTCTTTGCCCAATGTACAATTTTGACCACCAGCTCATAATGATGGATTTTGGCAATATTTTGCCCAGGAGAGATGGTAAACCGTAAAAGGTACAGGGGAGGTTTATGTGCAGAAAGGAGCAGAGTGTATAAGGAACAATATGGAGATATATGTACAGAAATAATGCTTGTAATAGACACTAAAAGTAACAAGAAAAAATAAATAAAAGAAAAATGCAGATATATAAAGAAACATGCATTTAGTGCAGAAAGCAATGAAGAATGTATTCACTAATAGTGAACTGTAGTGAACTCTAAACAGAATTGCAAGTTTTGGGCAAAAGTAGCAGAACTGGGGGGAAAAAACAACAAAATAGCAATTTTTATAATGTCCTATTTAGTAAAAGAAAAATAAAAAAAAAATTTCTGAAAAAAATGTTAGTAGGTAATATGAGTATTAAAAAAAAAAAAAAATGTTTTGGGACAATCTTTACTTTAGTTTTTAGCAGGAAAAGAGAAATAAAATGGGCCATGAGAGCCATTTGTACATTGATACATGGTATGATATGGCTTTACAGTTTGCATATTATGTCAGTATGTGTGTGTTTATGTCTGTCAGTAGGTCTGTGTGTGTGAGTATGACTGTGTGTGTGTCTGTCAGTAGGTCTGTGTCGGTGTGTGTGAGTATGACTGTGTGTGTGTCTGTCAGTAGGTCTGTGTCTGTGTGTGTGAGTATGACTGTGTGTGTTTGTCTGTCAGTAGGTCTGTGTGTGCGAGTATGATTGTGTGTGTGTGTCTGT